TATGGATTTATGAATAATTAATTTTTCTCATAGACTTTGTACCCAGCTTTCTCCACAAGTCTTTCCCTATACAACACTGATATATCTTACTGAGTAGTTCTGAACTTCGGCTGAGAATTACTATGAGAAGGAAAAAGAAATCGTATTTTTTTACGCCTGTCATTTGGTTGAAAATATTCCCAAGAGTTAGAATAGCAAGTAATATTTTATAAAAATGTTTCAGTTTAAAGGAAAATCACTAATTAAAGATGCATTTTTCCCCATAGGGTTTGTACACGTTATAAAACACTCCACTTTGGCACTTTTGTAAATCCGATCGACCTCAGACTTGATACATACTTAGACCACCACCCACAGATGGTCCTAGAAGAAATTTGTGATCGTGACGTCATCAGGTGTTGGGTTACGTCACATTAAAGATGCATTTTTCCCCATAGGGTTTGTACACGTTTTAAAACATTCTACTTTGGCACTTTTGTAAATCCGATCCACGTTAGACTTGGTACACACTTAGACTACCACCCACAGATGGTCCTAGAAGAAATTCGTGATTGTGACATCATCAGGTGTAAGGTTACTTCACATTAAAGATGCATTTTTCTCCGTAGGTTTTGTACACGTTTTTCTTCAAATCATACTTTGGCACTATATGTCTGATTGACTTTTCACTTGGCAGATGACATTCGAAGTGACTTCATCAAGTGTTCATCATGTGCACAGAGTATTTTAAATATCCAAAACAGCTTGTGTTTGTCCACAAACACATTTCTAGTTTTCTCCTTTTTTTCTCCTCTTTCAGTCATTTGTCCCCATATGTTTTGTATACGTTTATTCCACCAGTCCACTTTGGCACTTTTTTAATTCCAATTGATTTCAGACTTGGAACACAATTAGACTACCACCCACAGATGGTCCTAGAAGAAATTCGTGATCGTGACGTCATCAGGTGTTGGGTTACGTCACATTAAAGATGCATTTCCCCCATATGTTTTGTACACGTTTTACAACACTCCAGTTTGGCACCTTCGTCAATCCGATCGACTTTAGACTTGATACATACTTAGACCTTAGACCACCACCCACAAATAGTTCTAGAGGAAATTCGTGATTGTGACATAATCAGGTGTCAGGTTACGTCATATTGAAGATGCATTTTCCCCATTAGGGTGTGTACACGTTTTAAAACACTCTACTTTGGCACTTTCGTAAATTCGATCGACTTTAGACTTGATACATACTATAGTTTAGTCGGAAAAGGGGGGTATCGTGCACCCTCGGAAATCAATTTCTAATCAACGTGTCTAGGTCAGAAAAAATGCGTAGAAAACGATTTGCTATGTTAAAAAATTCAAAAAATGTCCCACGTATTGTTTTTATGCAAATTAGTGCCGCCATTACCGAAAAATCTATTTTTAATTATATCTCAGCCAATATTGCAGATAACTGAACGAACGAGGTGTCTAAACCCATGTTTTCAAGGTCAGAGATCACAATAAAACTATTTTGGAAGTCACCACATGTGTCTGTGGCATAGGAATATGCAAATTAGTGCCGCTAATACCGGAACATCATGTTTTTGGCATATCTCGGCCAATATAGAACATAACTACACCAGTAAGGTGTCTAAACCCATGTTTTGATGGTCAAGTATCATTAGAAGACCATTCACGAAGTAACTATGTGTGTCTTTGGCATGAAAATATGTAAAATATTAAGTGTCGGTTTATCAGATATTTGATTTTTAGCCAATATCTCGGCCAATATTGCACATAACTACACCAATAAGGTGTCTAAACCCATGTTTTGAGGGTCAGGTATCATTAGAAGACCATTTACGAAGTAACTATGTGTGTCTTTGGCATGAAAATATGTAAATTCTAATTTGCCGGTTTATCAAAAAATTGATTTTTAGCCAATATTATATTCAATTTCAGCCAATAGTACAGTTTATTTTAAATATGATGGCTTAAAATAAACTTTGATCATTATTGCTTATCAAAAACCCTTCTGTCAACATTAGCTGCAATATTGGCCGAGATATTGGCTAAAAATCAAATTTACGATAAATCGACACTTTTGAATTTACATATTTACCTGCCAAGGACACGCATAGTTACTTCGTGAATGGTCTTCTAATGATACCTGACCCTCAAAACATGGGTTTAGACACCTTATTTGTGTAGTTATGTGAAATATTGGCCGATATATTGGCTAAAAATCAAATATCGGATAAACCGACACTTTATAATTTACATATTTTCATGCCAAAGACACACATTGTTACTTCGTGAATGGTCTTCTAATTATACTTGACCCTCAAAACATGGGTTTAGACACCTTACTGGTGTAGTTATGTGCTATATTGGCCGAGATATGCCAAAAACATGACTTTCCGGTATTTGCGGCACTAATTTGCATATTCCTATGCCACAGACACATGTGGTCACTTCCAGAATAGTTTTATTGTGATCTCTGACCTTGAAAACATGGGTTTAGACACCTAGTTCGTTCAGTTATCAGCAATATTGGCTGAGATATAATTAAAAATAGATTTTTCGGTAATGGCGGCACTAATTTGCATAAAAACAATACGTGGGACATTTTTTGAATTTTTTAACATAGCAAATCGTTTTCTACGCATTTTTTCTGACCTAGACACGTTGATTAGAAATTGATTTCCGAGGGTGCACGATACCCCCCTTTTCCGACTGAACTACTAAGACCACCACCCACAAATGGTTCTAGAAGAAATTCGTTATTGTGATATAATCAGGTGTCAGGTTACGTCATATTAAAGATGTTTTTCCCTATTGTTTTGTACACGTTTTTCTTCAAATGCATACATTTTTACAGTTCTATATGTTTGATTGACTTTACACTTGTCAGACACTAAGACCAGCACCCGAAGATGGTCCCCAATAAATTCGTAACTATGACGTCATCATGTGTCACGTGACGTAACATATTAAATATGCATTTTTTTCAAATCGGCAACTTCGGCAGTACAAGTCCCATTGGGTTAAAATTTGGTATGTACATTCACAGGGATGTGTTATAGATGGAAATTGAAGTGACATCATCATCAAATGTCAAGTGACGTCCCTTAAAGGGGCATTTTAATCTTTTATATACTATTATATACAGAATTATAACACCTCACCCACAGATTCTGTGTCTTGATTGGCCAAGAGCGAGTCACATGTTACTTTCTAATTTTGCTATCTTTCTGTGCACGGCCTAAAGTACCATACCCGTGGCAACCAAAGTACTATACCATTGGCAACCAAAGTACGATTTGCACGGCGCGGTATTTGTGTGCAAATGGATGCTGGTGTGCGCGTTGCGCGTTGCGCGTAGCGCGTATTGTTCAAAAGAGCGTGCGCCGCAGACTTGGGTTCAAACATTTCGTGAAGTGGTAGTTTGGAAGAGAGATATACATTTTCCACCAATTTTGTATTGAAATTGAAGTTTATTTCAATTGTGTTCAGATTTAAATAATTTAAAATATTAAAATCAAGCAGAATCTGTGGGTGAAGTGTTATAAAACAAATATTGAATGCTTTATCTCGTGGTGAAGTAAAACTAGCCTCCCTCGATGATCCATGGACCATTCTATTTTCCCTCGGCTTCGCCTCGGGAAAATAGAATGTCCATGGATCACCTCGGGAGGCTAGTTTTACTACACCACTCGAAGCATTCAATATTTGTATACTATAATGTTTGATTTGGTTGTAACTTTACATGTGTTGTTATAGATGACATTTGTATTGACATCACTAATTGCTCATCACATGCACAGAGTATTTCATATATCCGAAACAGTAAGCTTGTGTTTCCCACAAACACATTTCTAGTTTCTGTTGCAATTGACCTATCGCGGTAGAATCGCGTTAGAATCGCGTCAACGCAGCTTGTGAAATATTGTCCAATTACATGATATACGAACGGACACGGAACGCGCAAAATCTAAGACAAACAAAACTGATTACTATACCTCATACATATTCATGATCGAGAGCCGAACGTTCACTGGTCAATTCACCATCACGTGCCAGATGTTATTCTTGCTGTTTACCAAACGCGCGCGCGAGGATTCACGCACATTGTAAATACGCATGCGTAGTAGACTGTCGCATGGGTTACCCGTGCGACAGTCTACTACGCATGCGCTTTACAGAGCAATCGAGGAACTGTCGCACGGGTGCAGTACGCACGCGCGAACATCGCCCAGGAGAGATGCATGGTTGCATGGTTCGCGTAAATGTTAATTTCCAGAGCTCAATGATGCCGTACTGGAGAAAATTTATAGACCGTGTAAAGATGTCTCCTGTACAAAAGAAAGTTGTACACATTGCAAACATTTGTATTTACAACTGTAGTACCTGTATTATATTGCAAACGAACTGAACTAGTAATTGAAGTTGAATTTTTTGGTGAGCTGTACAAGTTTCCCCGAATTTCGTTTTAGGTGCATAATAATAAAAGAAAATTCGGCTACTGAATATGTATGAGGTATAGTAAAACAAATATAACATGATTTATTTCGGGTGGACAGTCGATATTAGCTCCCCTCGGTATTGGAAGTTGACAAACTAGTTCCCACGGCTTCGCCTCGGGAACTAGTTTGTCAACTTCCAATACCTCGGGGAGCGAATATCGACTGTCCACCCTCTAACCATGTTATATTTGTATATTAGTATACACGAACTCCATATATAGGATTGTCTAAGGGCGTGGCTAACTCGCGAACGGCGATAGGTTACATGTGCTTTATTTGTGAACCTACGCATGAGATGGATGACGCCCCCGTTTTTTCATGGATGAAGGGCCTTTGTGCGTACCAGTACTGAGTTTCCATCTACCTGTAGAATAGTTTTCATCTACCTGTCGAATAGAAATATGAATCACAGGTTCCTCACCTATCACGTCAATAGTTTTTTTCTTCGATTTTGATTAGGCAAGTGAAATGAAATTAGTTCTCTTTTGGTGTTCTTTTACAGAAAAGGGTTCTTTGCGACTTATGGATGGGACAACACAGTACGGAGGGCGTGTGGAAATATATCTCAACGGTAGATGGGGGACAATTTATCATAACGCTTGGCAGTTCGAGGAGGTTGACGTCGTCTGCAAACAACTTGGTTATGGACATGCAACATCATTTAATCGGGGTAAGTACAAATATACAAAACCTGTATTTGGATTCCGGTCCTTCTCCCAAATTCATCATGTTGAGAACAATTCATCATATTTGTTGTTTGTAAATTGTGACGTCAACATTGGTAACTTAAACAATTAGTCACAACCTTTGTAAAACCACAAGCAGCGCTTGCCTGCGTTGTGCAGTTGTGCGCGTGGGGTATACTACCTATTTCGATCTGAGTATTGGGATGCCGTTCCGATCAAGCATTATGTCGGCTCAACAAGTCCTTTAGAGGGCGGGACAAGTCTCTTTCCTTGCTTGGCAAAGTGTAGCCTTGGTCGATGCTCTCGTCGTTATTCGTTCCGTACGCGGTCAATCGTCGGCATATATCCTCACGCGCTATGCACATGCATGTAAAAATACAGCGCGAACAGCGACCTCATGCGGCCACTATTTTTTTTATGCAAATCAGTTGGGGACGATCGAGAGCCTTGGTTCAATCGTCGGCAAAAGCTTATGTTTTTCTTTATTTTGCGCTGGATTTCTAGCGCACGACCTCGTATGCGAATACAGATAAGTGTAGGCGGGGCTAATATGTGGAGTGTCCAATCACACCTTGGTAAATCCGGACGTCATCAAATTATTTGCAGCTATTTGCCTTTTGCGGACGTGACAGGAACCACAGTTTTTGTGCATTGGTGCCGTGTGCAGAGACACACAACGTGTACGGATTATGTACGGTGCCACGTTTCACTATGCAAGTTTCCACGCAACGATCCACCAATAAGAAAACGACATTTAAGGTCAGCTAAGGCTATTAACATAATGAGCACCACCCCAAAAACCTCACATGGACGATTGAACCAAGGCTCTCGATCGTCCCCAACTGATTTGCATAAAAAAATAGTGGCCACATGAGGTCGCTGTTCGCGCTGTATTTTTACATGCATGTGCATAGCGCGTGAGGATATATGCCGACGATTGACCGCGTACGGGACGAATAACGACGAGAGCATTGACCAAGGCTAGGCAAAGTGTTGCATTCAGCCAACCCCTATACCGATTATTGGCAATGAATTTTAGTCAGGGGTAGAACCAGTATTCGACAGATTTCACCAGCGATTTTTTTTTCAGATACGTACGTGTGCTTTCGACGGAACTTCAGTTCCTTTGCAAGAGATTATAATTACACACTCATTGCCACTACAAGAGTAAATCGTGCTTCATTTGTGAAAGTGAGTGTTTGTTCTTTACCCTGACATAATGCCCTTTTTCCCCTCTCTGATGTAAGATTACACCAAAATGGGGACTGGTGCCATTTTGATTTTCTCTGTTCTCTGCAATGGGAAAGAGAGTAGGTTGACAGACTGCAGATACAGATCGGCAGATCCTTTACGCTGTACCCACATAGGAGATGCAGGAGTAACATGCTCTGCACCCGAAAGTAAGTATGATATACAGTGTGTATGAAGACAATCTAGCCCATGTCTCATGTACACGTATACGAAGAAAGCATTGCTGGTGTGTGAGAGTGAATTATTTCATTTAAGTTGACATGGCGTCAGATGGCACAGGACAAACGGCGTGCTTATTGTTTAAAATGTTTTACCAAAGTGAGATTTCTTTGCAGTATAGTTTAGTGGTGTAATTTTTTTAATCTCCCGTGCACCCTTTATGGACCCTCACGTTTTAACCACTATGTTATAATGTTGTGATATTTGTGTGAGCTAAAACATGCGCAATGCTACCAAAGATACCTTTTTTGCGAGGACAAAATCTTACCTAACATCTGGCTTATCCTGACTGGTTGTTCTTTTGCATCTTTCCATCTGTATAGCTCTGACTGACTCAGAAATCGGTATCATCATTGGTGTGCCTATATTGGTGGTTACAGGTTTGATTTGCATAATTCTTTTCGTCAGGTGGTATCGCCGCAGACCTTCCCCCGATGAACAGGTATCTCATGCTTCCTCTGTTAACTTTCTGAACTGTGACCTCAAATGAAAAATTACCTTGGACGGGTTTGGCTATGTCTTTATTTGGTGTTATTTATGGGGCGTAGTCCAGTCATTTCCGAGTCTGCATTTATATTGAAATGAACTGCATGCTATAAAGTTTGAAACAATTTGGCTGAACTATGTTATGTTAGGCCTAGCTGTTTTCTATTAGGAAAGAAATAAGCGATTTAAAACTCGCAAGTCGTAATCCATGATGACAGTGTTCAAAGGGTAATTCCTATACTAAAACCCCTTGCTATTTCAGCAGACTGCGGTATTTTCCCTTTGTAAATATAAAGATTGCGTCCAGCCACTGGTTGGAAACAATACAAATTTTCTGTGAGAAGGAGAAAACGTTGGAGTAATTTCTCTTTTGACAGGATGCGAGTCGAGGTCAGACGACCATAATAATTAGCCTCCGTAAAGAAGAGGACACGTAGGCTAATCGGACCGTGCTGAGGAGGAGGTGCTGAGGATCGTATCTGGCCACGACAAATCTGTCACATTCTTCGTGACCATCATATCAACACAGTCTGCAACATCCTCCAGGCCAGCCTACTGGTCAGCTGAACCCAACTGACTAGCGTAAACCTACTGCCTAAATCTCAGACCAATCTACTGAAAAGGCTAGCTAATTTCTTTATCAAGGAAAGACGTTTTTCTCTTATTGTAAGGGAACGTTTCAAAAGTCGGAACGTTCCCGATCGCTTCTTTTAGGCACGCTGTGTGTTCCTAGCGGGAACATGCTGTGTTCCCAACGTGCTCCAACTGGAACAGGCCGTTCCACAAAGAACTGTGTATAAAGACCAATGTTTGACCGATAAAATGTCGTGACGACATTTCTTTTTGGAGGGGTGTTGTAAGAACCGCTTTGTAGTAAAACCCCTCTAGAGTGAAGTTTTTGTAGAAAGTAACACCCCCATCAAAAATTGGAATTGGCCAAAGACGACTCAGAGTGCGTGTGAGTGTGCCTAGTCACTTTCACATATTTTGGCAAAGTGACCAGACGTATTCACAACAGTGTTCTCTTTTGTCTTTGCCCAATAAGTATGTATTAATGTTTCTGTCTTTTATACACATCAAAGTTCCTGTATTTCTTTTGTTCACATTTTCCTTTACTTGGAGTACACAATCAATTACTTGAGTTGATCAATTGGTTGAAGGTTTGAAGGTTAATTATTGTTCTTTGAATTTGTCAACTTTACTCTTTTGCCAAATTATATAGAGACTGACAAGATTGAAGTTTGTTTTATGATGCTTTGATATTTCCATTATTGTTTGTATATTCAGTTTTTGTAACTTTGGATGAGATTTAAGATGGTATAAGTTTGATTAGTTTTTAGCAACTGAACTTTAGTCATTCACTTCAGTTATTTATAGAAAGTTTCACTAAGTTTCCTGGATTTGGGGAAAGTTTGGTGAAAGTTTGTGTAGTTGATAACTTGGATTTCATTCATTTAAAAAGCTGGACCATGTTGTGTTATTGTCTCGGACGGTGCTTTACCCGCCCTACCAGTTTTCTGAAGAGCCCCTTTAATGTAGTAACTCTATCTCCTACAGTTTTGGATACTTGCTAACTGGTTCTGCCTCATTATGCACTTGAGATGCTGTGCTCATCAATAGGACCATTGTTGCCAAGTGCCACTTCTGACCTCAGTGGATGAGGTAACGTCTGGGTTTTTTGGTGTGTGTGCACTGTGCAGCTAAAAGTGCTCGTTCCGTATCCAGACAGGCCACAGACCGGTTCACTTTTAGAAACAAAGAGTTATTCTGAATATGCATTTTTCCAGGACATTTTGACTTGCGAAATACTGATTAGAGCATCCCTTCGACCTTACATATGTTAGACGCCCCGGAACCACAGTCATGTAAGTAGAGATAATTTTGTAGGCCCTTTTTCCTTCATAATACTTCAGCCAGTTGATGTTTCTTAGGATTGTAGACTTTATTTGTAGTTTTATCATGTACCTGATCGTTCAGACTCACTCACATTCGTCTAGAATTAGCTGTTTCTGTTAAACTCTTGTACTCGTATATTGTGTTAACATGTCCATCCCACATTTGTTATTTTCTTAATGAGTGGATTTCAGTTCTTTTAGTACTAGAGCGCGTATGAGCGATACCTGTTATTATTTCTGTTGTCTAACGCCGTATCACGGCCACTTATGATGGAGCGATCCCTTTATTTAAGGATCTGGCTTATTCTGCACAAAGCGTTTCTGATTTTATAAGGATGCTAGTCTTTGTAGTTTGTAATTTACACTTACTTTAATTAGTCTCTGTAGTTGTACCTTACATTCATTTAAGCACGTGTTAAGAAAATGAGTTAGTGATTTTACAAGTGTAATAGAAGGTTTTTATCTTCTTTATCTTACAGTTCACCGCGTGAAATAAAGGATTTGGAAACTGAAGCTCCGCCCTTCGGCCATATTTCTTTGTTATGCGGTTGACACTAGCTGATCGAATCTGAGTTACCGCTTGCCATAAGCTACACTTTTACAGACATCAGTACAGTTATAGTAAACTGTGTTTGTGGATTTTAACATTGAATGTAAGTTTCACCATTTAGCCAAGGAAACTTACATTGCAAGCACTGATACTGGTTTCGTTCTCGTTCTAAAATTTTTGATTAAATGTAAAATTGGCCCCATTTGGCATGGCGCCAATTGGCCTTTGTCTGATCTAGCGAAACTTAAGAATGGCCATTCTGTGATCAGGGTCGATAATACTATGCTTTAAGACAATCAGGGGATCTGTGCCCAATATTTGATTAAACACTATTCAGCTCTCCGTTTATCAGGTTGCTTATTTGCACAGTTGCCCTATTAAAACTTTATGGAATAATCACGTGAACAATAATACCATTATGACATTTAGCTCAGCAAACAAAAACGGGAATACGAGCTGGCTGTCCGTAAACTGGGCTTAAATTAGGCGAAAGGTCGCCTAACATGGGAGGCTTGAATAAGTTCAAGGACCCCCCCCCCAAAAAAAAAAAATGCTCCCAGTAATTATGCCAATGTCAGTGTGTTTTCTTTCCAATAATTTTAGGAATTTCCTTAAACTTTTTCAAGTCTCCCACGTTAGGCAACCCTTCACTAATTAGGCCAATTAACAGACACCTCGTTTACCCCGTTTCTGTTTGCAGGGAATCCTATCACAACATTATCATTGTTCGCATGCTTTTCAATAAGGTTTTAATATGATAACTGTGCCAGTAAGCAACTTAATTGGTGAATTTAAAGCTCACATGCTGATGTTTGGCAAGACTACTTGAAGATATCTGGAGACAAGGTAAATGTGCGAAACTTTGGGGTGTAAGAGTAGCAGTTTGGATCATTACATTGGCGGCGGAACGGGTTTAAAACTGGGGGGGGGGCAGCACCCAAAAGGGGCACTTGCAAACCCGTGCTGAAATGTCGCCACGTTTTTTTCACCGGACACACTTGACCTCCGTAAAATCAAATAGTGGGAGGGGGGGGGTACCATCTTCCAACATAGGGGGCGCTCTTCAAAACCAATGCTTATATGCTAGACATACATTATGTCACCATTTTCAGGGCGTCTTGTATGGGTTTTGGGACTTGGTTTTCATATCCCTCGTTTATATAAAAAATATCTCTACCATTATTGGGAAATGGTTACTTCTAAGAAATAGTAAGATACTTTAAGGGCATTTTTGTTGTATCTCGAGGGGACACTTTAATGCTCGAGGGGGCACACTTATGGCCGCAAGAGGGGCACTTGCGAAAATCTGGGGGGCAAACGCCCAACCCCCAGCCCCCCCGGTTCCGCCGCCCCTGCATCATTACTATGTTCTTATAATTATTCAGTCACAAATATGCTTTAGAAAATATTCTTAAGTAAGGATGTGTAAGTATAGATTCACCAAAATAAAATTTTCAAAAAGTAGAAAATTACAAATATACCCGAATGTGGGGAACAGATATATTACACAGCAGGGATTATTGATGTATGCAAATTATGTATTTTTACGGTCAAAATTAACGATGGCATCCACCCACATCTTGTTTGTTATGGTTCAAAGAATGGATCTAGATGGATGCCAGCTATTACCCTGAAATGCCGTGAAATTATTATCTAGAGAACGTTTCCACATTTGGCTGGCCTAAACTTAATTCATAGGACTGCGAGGGAGGTCCATGCCAAGGAGTCGAACACTGAGGTCAGCGATCAGCTCCTTGTTCTTGAAGCCGTTCCTGGCCCATTCCTCCCGCCAAATGTGATAGCTATCGTCCGTTGTTCCTGAGTTGGTTTTCAGTTTTCGTTGGTAGCCGTTGTCTTTATGTGATAAGTGCTAGCACCTGATCTGCTGTGCTGCTCCTGTTGGTCAGGGTTGGAAAAAAAATAACAATTTGAGAGATGCGGTTGAGGATCGCTCTTTCAAGGGTTGTATCAGATGGAGAGGAGCGAGATCGGTCTGTAGCTGGCTGCTAGCTTCGGCTCTTTGCCAGGCTTGGATATGCCAATGACTGTTGCCGTTTTCAACGTCTTTGGATCTGTTTGTCATAGATCACGCTGGTGAGGAATTTTCCAGTTGATGGCTCGATGTTGCTGATTTCTGGGTAGAAAATGCCTCTTACCAGGTCACTAGCATGGGCGTCGCGAGGGGGGGGCAAGGGGGGCACTTGCCCCCCCCCCCCCCGGAAAAGCCAAAAAAAAAAAGGAAGAAAAAAAAGAAAAGGAAAAAAAAGAAAAAGAAGCGCGAAGACAAAGTGGTGTAAATTTAATGAGTTCGGGGGGGGGGCAAAATGTCCCTGCCCCCTCTAAAACTGATAAATCGAGAATGTGTTGAGAAATACAAGCATTTTTTGGCAAAAAAAAATTTTGCCCCCCTCTAGAAAAAATCCTGGCGACGCCCATGGTCACTAGTAAAGCTTGTCCATTCGAATTTCCATCTCGTTGTCGGGGACGAATGGCGATGCGCAGTCTGATTCTGATGTGGATTACGATGGGTCTATGTGGGCTGCGTGGGAAACCGTGCAGGACATTTTTTTCGCAATATCAAAACTAACGATCAGCCTAATTAAACAATTTGTACTTCGCGATGTTGTGAGAGGCAAGGTGTCTTTTCAGCGCCGCGAATGGAAATCCTACATTTCGTGAATTACACTGCAATACGTTTTGATGTAAATTCGAAACCGTCGTCTAGGAACGCAATTAAACTGTCCATGGAATATAAATGATACAAGTGTTAAAATTATTGGGGAAAACCTGTATAATGCATTACACTTTGTGCTTTGCGTGTTTTTTGTTATTTTAATGAAGTAACAATAAATGCACAAAAGGTTAACTCATGGCAATCTAATATACAATACTAAACCATTGGATTCTAACTCCTTAACATATATAATGTCTACGCACGAACTGAATATGAATAACCGAACCAAATATTTCACAAGACCAACTATGAAATTATTGGTGTACTTATGTTGTACATTCGAATTCCGAATTAACTATTGAGCCCACGGAATAAAAGTAGTCATCAATCCATTGAATTTAATTGAAACAAATGTTCAAATAACTCGGGAAACCCATGATACTTACAATAATATTCATTTTGTAAATTGACCTCTTTTTTTTTCTTTTTCTTTTTTTGGATTTTACACTAAGTCTCCTGGTGCGCAACATTTTGTATGAGGACCTGATCAAATTCAGCGTTTAGACCCCTTGCACACAGCGTCCTCACAGAGGATAGGTCTTTGTTCCTTCGTCATGCAAATTCTGTCCTTATTTTATGTTTACGTTGGTGTCCACACTAAGTCTCTTGGTGCCCATCATTTTGTTCGAGGACCTTATTGACTTCTGCGTCCAAACTCCTTGCATACAGCGTCCTACAAAGGACAGGTTTTTGTTCATTCATCATACAAGTTATGTCCTCATTTTATGTTGACGTTGGTGTCCACACTAAGTCTCTTTGAGTCCAACATTTTGTATGAGGACCTCACTGACTTCAGCGTATAGACGCCTTGCATACAGCGTCCTAACATAGGACAGGTCTTTGTTCCTTCATCATACAAGTTATGTCCTCAGTGAGGGCGCTCTCCGCAAAATAAACTGTTCCCGTTCCCTCACCAACCGGACAACTTGGCATATAAAGTGGAGAGGGTGAACGACCGATAATCTCTCATATAGAAATGCCGGATATGCGCTTCAAAATATTAAGTGAATATACGACAGCAGAATAAAGAAGTTTAAAGCGTTAACCAGTCCATTCTCCTTGAATTCAACAACGAAAGTACTTTTTCCATTCATTGCTGTCTACCTAGAAGTATCAATTTGCCCGAATCCAAATTTTGTCGAAGGCTGAGTATGCTATTGATTTGGGTGTCATCATTTGTGGAATTAATCATTGAAAATGATTTGGATAATCACTGGAGTCTTGATCTGAGGCCAAATCTCGGTAATAAATGCAGTTTATCCATGCTTGTTGTCCAGGTAATTATATGTGCCTCCATAATACACTGTTGTGAAAAAAAAGGTTTTTGAGAAACTACGAAATTACCAATAACAAAATAGCGACTCTATTTACAGAAGCTTTTGTCATCAAAAGCACTTTATGGAAACAATTCTTATTTTCATAGGAAAAGAAAAGAAAACGCCTTTTAAAATTGCCGAAATTTATTAGAGTCTCGTAGAGTCTACGGAATCTTTTGAGAGGAGCTTTTAGATTCTGAAGTACATCTGGAGCGTATCAATGCTCTCATCACTGGACCGAAATGTGGATGCTTGACGGCATAGATGAGAGGATTAATGCAACAACTGATGAATAAGATCAAGGCGCCGTACAGCTCGTATCGGTGGTTGCTAGTGACATCAATGATGGCATGAGGAATGACGCAGACCATGAAGACTAAGATAATCAAAAAGAGGTTCTTGGTTATTGCCAGTTGCTCATTCCTCATACGGCGGCTCAGTCGACGTGAACTCAGGGTGCTTTTGATAGCCCCAGCGGGCTGTTGAGAGCTACTAGTATGGGCATCGTCACTCTCTTGCTTTGAAGGAGACGAGGGGCCAGAACGTCTACCGCTCGATGACTGCAGACCGTGTTCATGTTGTCCACGCTTCTTGAAGTGACGTCTAACATGTCGCCAGATCAGGAGATATGAAGTAATGATGACAAGGAAGGGCAGTGGACAAAACACGGCAAATTGAAGGTTGTCGTACTCGTCAGCTCTCGGATGAGTTTCCACATCTTTGCAGAAGCGTGTCTCTGGATCAAAACCAAGGCCACCAATGCCGGACAATGGCGGTATGATGGTGGTACACAAGGGAATTAGCCAAGAGCCAAAAACCATCAAGGCAGTCTTCTTGGGTGTGTACAGCCATTGGTAGGTCTCCATAGGTCTAATGACTAGGATGCATCGGTTCAGGGCGATGTTTGCAAGGGTAAATAGGCTGGTACTTATGGTGATGTACACAAGAGACGCCGAGGCAACGCACAGGATGTCGGGCTGCAATGGGTAGCCGGGAGTTTTACTCAGCAAGCCAGGTACAATCCACATGCTTGCAAAACTGGACAGAAAGTCAGTCACGCTCAGGTTGACCACGAACACGTTGGTGACATTCTGGAGTTTCTTGGTACGGGCCACGGCAACCAAGACCAGGCAGTTACCGCTGATTGCCAGGACTATCAGGATAGAGAACCCAACGGCAAGAAAAACCAACTCGGGGTACGTGTACAGGACTTCAAAGGTTGAGTTCAGCTCAGGAGTTGAGTTTGTAGAAAACGCCATTGTTGCAGCTGCGATTGCTTCTGTTGTTTTATTATTGTGCTTATCAAAACTTATGTATTAAACTCCAGTCCACAATACCCGGTGTCTAATTCAAAACCAAATTCAGGCACAGTCGTCACTTCAATGTTACGTGCTCGATGTCACGGAAAGGAAACCCATGTACAGTTATGGGATGGCTATTTTCCATAGAAAAAAGGTCATTTCCTATGAACAGTTGTTTTTTGTAATGAACTTCCCGTTTCATATTACCTTTTTCACTATGGCATGACTCCAAGAACTTTTAAGGAAAATAAAGATGCACAAAAATAATGCATTACCGTGATACAAACATCTTGTGGTTTGGCCAATAGTAATGGTGTCAAGCGATAACAATATCCACTGAACTTTTTCCGTAATAGATGAACAGCGCCTGTCGTGCTTTTACATCATTTAGAACATTTATTTCACTGTTGCCATTCTTCACAATGTGTATCTTGTAGAATAATAGTTCAGATAAATGTGTACTGAGAAGAAGAAAAAACTACATTCGGAGATCTTAAGAAGCTTGTAGGGATATAACGCCGACTCAAAGTGAAGGGCTTAAAGATTGCACGGTCTCGGAAAGTTTTGTGAAAATACAATGACGTCGATGATATAATCATCGATGTGTATAGAAGACAGAGTTGTAACCAAGTCATTTTTTTTTTCAAGTCATGTCAAGTCCCAAGTCAAATTTTAGCAAGTCAAGTCAAGTCTCAAGTCAATTTTTTTTTTCAATTTGCACCCATCTTTATATCATAATGCTTCTGCATATTTCCCCATTTTTAACAGTAATTTTGATTGACCAATAAACTATAACAAAACTTCATTTGGTTGTACTGCGACGACCACAACCGGCGTTTTCTACATTATGGTCCAAAAGATAATTTTTTGGCATAATTTTTATTTTTATTTAGATGTAATCAAAGTTGGTAAAAGCATTTCTCGTGTCAATATTAATCAAACTAACGTCACAGCTCGAGGGAAGTTTACCTATTTTAAGGGCCAACATCACCCTTTTTCGTGATTTGTGATGTTGTCCCCAAATTTGAAGTTGTTCACCTAAATACGCTCAAAAGAATACTTACGATCATGGGCGTACACCCCGGGGGAAGGGGAGGATAATCCCGCATATTTTTTGACCGGGTGGATGGGCCGCTTGATCATCCCCGCAATGTTTGTGGTGAGGAAACCCCAAAATGCCGATTTGAATATATATGTTGTGACTTCCCAACGACAGTTCAAACTAGAGGTTCGCGTTTGTTGTTACAAACGCAGAGTGGTCGGGTATACGTAGACAACCACTTCATTAGACATTGTCCAATTAAGTTATGAATATGTTTATGTCAGAAAAAAAGGACCAAGAACTTCAACATTTCCAGTACCAATTATTTTGCACAAAAAGAATGCGTCGTTTAAGGTGTGATAAATTTCAGTAAACAGTTGGGTCCACGTACAAGTTATTTCCGGTTTGATGGCGTCATCGGTCAAACAGGGAAGGGAGGACACTTGTTTATCATTAAGTAAAAATAACGCATGAAAATATGGAAATTAAGTGTATGTAATAATAACAGCTAATTTCCAGTTTGATGATGTCACAGTATTTGGAAGCAAAAGGTCAATATTAATTGTAACAGATGTCATTTTGGGGGGGGGGCAAAAAACAAAGTCATGAGACAGGGATCAAATGATGGATTTAAATTAAAAATAAAATGGTTGTTGTTGAATTCTCCCTACAGTAACTTCCGGTCTGATGACGTCATGATTATGAAACCTTGCACATTTATTTGCAGTTGCTCACGGGATATATAGGGGCAATATATCATAAAAATGTGATTGAGGGTTTTAACATTTTAAAAGATTAAACTGTTTTCTATGTGCCGCTGGAGGGCGCCCTTTCGTGGATAACGTCAAAATAATGTTTTTGTGATTGGCATTCCTCACTTAACACTTCCATAATGTATTTGTCTGTAGTAAAATGCTTCCGTTTTAGAGTAAGATTCAGTTTCTATTGCACTTCCGGTAACACCGGAAGTAAAGGTCAAGCAGTTTTGGGAATAAGAAATGTTGCTCAAGGCACCGTCTACAACCTCACGAAAAAAACGAGCACGATACTCCATTTAGTTCAAGAGATATAGGTCAAAGTATTTTGTCAAATCGTGCAATCAAATCGCTTGTAATTTGATACCTGATGACGTCATGATGACATAACAACAGTTATAACATCTTTGTAACATGGTACAAGTTCACAGTAGGTTTCATGATCACACCGTAAACCGTTTGGAAGAAATTGTGCTTTGTTTCGATTTCAGGCTAATGTCTTCATTTTGAATTCACCTAACTTTGACATTCCGGTAGACCCGGAAGTAAAGGTCAAGTGAGTTCACGTACGGGACAAAAAAAGTTTATCAATTTATGGTCTATCTGTTTACAAGATTGAAGCATAATTGATCATTTTGTTAAAGAGTTATAGATGAAAGAAGATCGTCATTTTTTCAACGAAAATCGCTTGTAATTTGACACCCGATGACGTCATTATGACGTCAGTGTAATATGCACCACTCCGAGTGAGGGTCAATATATGTTTAAAGTTACAAGTTCATATCATATACCGTTTAGGACAAAACCCGCGGAAACGTGCTGTGCAGAAGAAAAAAAAAAAAAAAGAAAGATTAATCGCAACAAATCCAAAGAGTGGTCGGGTTGTGCCCGACCACTCAATGAATACAAAGTATGTAAAGTTAAGGGGTCATAAGTGCACAAGTTTTCTAACTGCATGTACAGTTGTATCATAAACAACAACCCCTAGTGTTACGTTGTATCCAGAGCTCCCCCCCCCCCCCTTCGTATTTCCCCGTATTTTGGCGGGATGGTCATTCCCAGGACCCCAACACCCCACTCGCCGACACGGGTTTACGCCACTACTCATAAAGTGAAGTTAGAAATGCTTGCATCTTTTTGCAAGAACTGTCAAAAAAAAATAATCGGCACTTTCTGGACAGACAAAATAAAAGATGGGATTGGTGCTGTCTTGGGGGGAAAGGAAACCTTTCTCATTCGCTCATGATTTATTTGGGAATACATTGAAAACTTACATATTACTTGGCGATGTACTTGCTATTGTTAGAAATCGTCATTTATCGTGGTCGTTTACTGTGAGTCTATGCAAATCTTTAAACTGAAAAATGGAATGACTGCTGAGTAAAAGCTAATTTTATGTGCGAATAATTCATTCACTTATCAGAACATGCAGACAAAGGCGCTTTCAGAATTCCGATTGTGGTAAGATTCCGGAAAATATGGAAAGAAAAATATTCCGGATTTACTATTGTAATCCTTTAACTTACTGCGTTTGCACTTGTCAGTCGCATAACAATTTCTGTTAGTGTATCGTATAAGTGGGAACAATTTGAAGGGTTGTTTTTGACTGAGTTTGAAATAACACACACATTGTTTCATTGGAATTTTAAAAGGCCGTCTATTGGGGTTATGGCCTTATAAGTAAATGCAGCACAATTCAGTAGGATGGCCGGAAAAAGGGAATGACTGTTCAGTTAATATCTGATTTCCTTCGGACGTCAGGCATAGCTGAATGCACCCACCGCTTAATACTGTAAAAGAACCAACAGAGAGAGAGAGAAAATGTGTGAATCAAATAAAATTGCCTGATGTTTGAATTATGCGGGTGCTTTTGCAACTTTACAAGTCGAGCTTTGGGGAGAAGGCAACAGAAGACAACAGAAGACAAGGGGACTTGCGTCGTATAATGAGAAGAAAAGCGGACGATTGCACCATGAACAAAATATGTTAATAATGTTTTTCCAATCCACATAGACACTGCAAACCTTTCTTTTAGAATGAACAGACTCTATAACAGACGAAAATTATGTATCATTTCGATATGCCCTTTTTTGATTCGAGTTACCTTGACATAGAGTAGACGGTTAGGTGTTCCGTTGGGGTCAGAGACAACGCCTGGTGTAGCGTTGTTTATTAGGGCGTTCTTGACCGATGATGGTGTGGCGTTGCAGTTTTGACCAAACTCAAGCGCGGCAGCACCTGTTAAAAGTAATAAGCTTAGATTCGTAAAACACTTAGATAATGATTGTTTTTCGAAGGTTGAAACAAAGCATAACTAGGATTGTTGTGCTGATTTTAAAAATGCCGATCTACGTCAAGGGAGATGGTTCATTGTGTTTGAATAAGCTGTTATACCTTAAAAAAAATAATAAAGGAAGCCAAGATATAGTAAAGTTGCAAAACACTTTGATCTTAGTTTAAAACGCTAAACATTATAATTGTTAACTTCAAATGAAACTGTAATTAAAAAATAATGAAGTTTGCTGTACGAACCTCCGCGAACGAACGTGAAACGATCGCTTAACAAAAACTCAAATTTCTACTTATGAACCGCGTCACGTATCGTCAAAGGGTGACATCCCCCCTCCTGAACTTAGCCCAACGTCGTCAATTTCAATTTCTAACTAGAGGTTGTAGGAACAACCACACGGTATTGGGCCATGGATTACCGCAAACTTTGTCACACACATCAACTGAAAATATGCATGTTTAAATCCATGTTTGACTTTTCAACATGACGCCAGAGGGCGCTCTAACATTTGATAACTCAAATCGTTGAAAGCAGTTCAAGTTCGCATCTTCTGCCAATTTCAGTTAATACGGCACTTCCGGTTTTGACCGGAAGGAAGGGTCACGTGATTTTGCACTTAAAACCAAAAATGAAGACCCTGCAATATTTTATCGATTGCCATAAAAAACAAAATCAAATCTGTAGCAGTTGATTTTATATTGGTTTTCAAATATTAAATATGGAAATATTTATTTGCTTGTAATATGACACTTGATGACATCATTGTGACGTCATCGCCAGAAACCTCCAGGGCTATATTTACTCTGCTATATATAGCCACATCTTGATTATATCGCTCACGGCTGATTTTTTAGCAATTGTTTAAGGTTTA